GCCAGGCCCAGCCAGCCAGCTAGCCAGTCCAACTAGAGTCTCTGCAAGCAGGCTGACTGGCCTGGCGCCCAACAACGCAGCATGGCAGGGTGGGGACTCAAAGACGACGAACGCTCGACCCGTCACGAGGCGGCTTTTTGTCTCGTCGCCTTCTCGACGGCTCGTCGAGAAGGTGACGGGCCAAAACAGAACAAGAAAAATGACCGAGACGCCGCTGCGCCCCCTGCAGGCTACACGCCGTTCCAGAACGTGCCCTTCACGGTCTGCGTTCCTTGAGGTTCCAGTCGTGCTCCCTGCCGCCAGCCTCCAAGGCGCTCTGCGTCACTCCACTTCCGAAGGCGAAACAAACGCCTGCGCGCCGCGTCTGCCTCAGAAACACCAGCAGGACCAAGAACACCGGAAAGGTTGACACGTCGCCTAATTAAGACGTCCGCTTGTAGATGGGACGCGATAGGCAGCCGTCGTGACTCTGTTGACAGGCGGCGCCGCCGCTTCTCGCGAGCGCCGCGCGCCCGGCCACACCTCGGCGCGGCGGCGCGGCGCGTCCGACGGCTTGACCAGATGGCCGCCCGGCGGCGTCCCCCGAGGCAAAAACGGCCCGACAAAGCAGCGGGCCGCGCGCCGGACACGGACGGCCCCGCCCCCTATCGGCCAGCGCGGGGGAGGCTAATGGCGATAATTGAATGTAATGGCTCGGCTCACACACAAAATAAATAGGCCCCTTCCCGGGGGCAGGCCGTGTTTAGAGCTAATGGCCCTGTTTGAAGGGGTTAAATCCACAGGTACGGGCGGGCTATTGAGCTGCAGCTGACACCGGTGCCCGACGGCTGCCCCCTCCCAGGGATGACTGTCGTGAGCTCCCCCCCCCCCCTCTCTCTCTCTCTCGGCGATGACTTGGCAGTCCGGTGAAGGATTGTGGTCATCTCTCAACCAAACGGGCCAGATTGTTTCATGCGATATTGACATCACATCCAATGAATACCCGTGTATTTGTAATTAGTTGCGATGCATCATCGCCCCTTACAATGGAGCTGCTTTCAGATCGCTCCTCTCCACTCGTGAGGCTGCAGCCGGCACCGGCTCTGCGGGGCGCCAGGTGCTGCAGCGCTGTCGGAGCGCGTCACCGCTACCGTGCGGTATTGGTCAGAGGGCCTGCAGCCGCCGCCGTCCGTGGTCGGGTGCCTGCACGTCCAGGCACCGGGAGCCGCGCGGTGAAGAGGTGTGGAGCGAGACATCACACGTTTCTTCCTCTCAAGCAGGCATAAATTCAGAGACGACAGTCTGCATGACGTTGAGATTTAACCGGGGCAGTGTCGCGGAGAGCTGCGTGGGGCTCCTGCTGTTGCGTCTCATTGACGCACGCCTGCGGGGCATTACCGGCAGGTCACGGTCCAGACTCGCCGCCGCCAGATGACGCTGTTTTCCGCCACGCGCTCCGGCGGGGCTAATTTGCGATCAAGGTTATGGTCGCCTGCAACAGACCGCCAGCCGCAAACAATAATTTCGGGAGTATCTGCGTGTGCCCGGGCCGATCGGCAGATCCAGCGGGTGAGGCCCTCCGCCGCTGTGGCTCACCGCAGCGGAGCGCGAGCGGCCGGGGACGCGGGGAGGCAGGCGGGGAGGCAGGGGAGAGAGCGGGGAGGCCGGACCCGCGGTGGGCGCCGCACGAAAAGGAGCGGGTGAGCGAGCGAGGGCGCCGGCCGTCAGACCCAGCGGCAGGGCACGGGGTGACGGCACCCTCGCCTTAGTCGACACGGGGCACGCACAAGCAGCGCCGGCCCTTGGGCGCCACGGACATTGCAGGGCGATTTTTGTCACCGGTCGCGCCGTTAAACAGGCAATGAATACGAAACGAGCGGGGGCCGCCAAGGCGCGTTCACATGTAAATTGGAGATGATTGAAAGGCGCGCAGCGGGGATGGCTGGCGACCCTTGGCCAGCCGGTTTTCATAGGGCGACCGCCGACAAAACAGCCATCAAAATATGCAAAACAAGTCGACAATGCCTGCGCACTGACCATATCTGGCCAGCCAGCGCTCAATGCCACCTTTGATGTCGCGTGTTTATCTAGATCGGGCATGTACTGCTCTGAATCGGCGGCCTATTTCTGGCGCACCGGCCGGCCGCGCACAAAAGGCGCACCAGAATCGCCGCGCGCGCTCCTTCCGCGCCGAAAACACGCTCAGTGCCGGGCAGGAAGCGGGGCAGCGTTTGCCAAGTGTCCGGAGCGCACGTGCCCCGGTACCCCGCGCCCCCCCCCCCCCCTCGCCCGCACCCCTGACCGGCGAAGGACCCGCTCTCGGCGGGGGGCGATAAACGGCCGCTCCCCACTCTCCCCCGCAGCCTTGGACCCGCACGGCGCGCGGCCAGCTGCCGCCCGCCTGTAACTAGATCGGAGCGGGATGACCGGCGGGGTCAGTCGGGGTCAGCGGGGTCACGCGGCCGAGAGGGGCCGACAGGTGGAATTCGACTCCGCGCCGCGCCGACGGCCCGTCGGCGCGACGGCTGAAGCTAACCGCACGACCCCTCGTGCCCGGACCGAGAGCGCGCGAGTGCGCGCGGCGAATGTGGAGCGAACTGTCACGTAGCGGACGCCGACAAGGCCGCGGCGACGCCAGCACTGCGGCGCTGAGCGACGGCCGAGTGGACGAGGTGAGGTCTCTCCCCTGAGTGGCGGGGGACGCCAGATCGTGGAATGGAAACGCGGGAGAATCTCGCAGGCGGTTGGAGATACATCGCCGGCGTAGCGCGGCGCGGTACACACCTACATAAAGAAAAACTGCTAAAACAGGCTGACAGCGCTCCAAACTATAAAGTTCATGAGAGTTTAACTATGCAGTTTGTCATGTCAGCTGTGTTTCGCCCAACTTCTGAGATCACCAGCCTTTGCCGAATCTAAGCATGTTTTCCAGCAGACATGGGAACAGACATGATACCGGGCACCGGGCGACTGCGATTGTCAACTGGTGCTTGCAAATTACGCGTTCCAACAAAGCGAAATACGGGGCACCCCTAACGCTTGCAGAAGCGAGTTACGTTAAAGCGTTTGATCTTGCAGTTATGCTCATATTTGCACTTTTGATATATTGCACGAATTGTCATCCTGTTTGCTTCACTATGCATTAGACAACTTTATTGCCGTTTGTTCTTTTTTGTCTCAAGTATTTTGCTTTAAAACAATTGCTACAAATATTCCAGCATTACGTTAAGACATAGCCAAATTGAGTATAAGAGCTATGTTCGACGTATTGCACCTATTTTTTCCTTCTAGATCCATGTCTACTGCTAACGCATGGTGTGCGTTCTACTAAAAATGTTCCATCAACAGCATAATAACATGCGAGTGCATCTGGCGGGAAGGCCTTAACTTGGGTAATGTCTTAGAAACGGTATGATGCTTGTGACACCGCCAGTTACTCACAGGCTACCAAATTGCTAATAAAACAACGCGTTACAAAGTATCTGACCCCCAGGAGCGCCACCCCCTCCACCCGTGCGTGGGTCATCTAAACTAGGCGTAACGTAGCTAATTGTCAGGCGGCCGTAGCCTTTGCCATCAGCATTGCTGCGTGCCATGGCGGAAGCTCCTCTGGTGGAAACATTTGATTGGTCCGCGTTCCGGCAGTCCGGCTGACCGGCTTCCCTGCCATTCACGCCCAGGCAGCAATGATTCGCAGGCTCATGTGCGCTATCAGAATTTCAAGCATAGCTTTCCTAGCACATCGTATACTCTTCAACCTCACATACACTAAGTGTTCCATTTTGAAAGTTGTGCGTGGTTTTTAAAAAGGGCGTCTTCTGCGTGCTTGGGATGTGTTATTCATAGTCACACCAAGATGTCCAAACCTTACATTCCATCGGTTTGTGAATAATAAAAAGAATGCAGCAACGAAGGCTTCAGGTTTCCCCAACAGCGCTCAAGTTTTGTCGTTAATGTCACAGTTTTCATAACAAAGTCGTAGTAAAACTCTACGGCCCTTCCCAGCCCCGACCACACTGGCCGTCTGATGCCACCTAGTCCCGTGTCTGGCAAAGCACGAATGCGTGCTATTTCTTATCTTGCGTGGTCAACCCAATGTGCTATTTTTGAAGTAAGGATTTCGCAAACTTTCTGTAATCCACAGCTAAATCGGCCACGCACCATGTAACTTGCTTAAAAGTCAAGATCAAGCCTGCCTCAAGAGAGGCACTCGTGTGCTGTCCTGTCGGTTATCTGAACACCGAAACTGAGCGATGGTATTCATTTGCGTTCGCATTCACAATCAAGTCTGCGAAATAACAGCGGGCTATGGGGAATGCAAGAATATCTGGGTCGCAGACAAATAATTATTACCAAAACTACCAGGCTCTGAAGGGTTGACGCGAAAATGGCCGCTGGTATCCTGTTAGCTTTAGAACTGCGCAAAAGTATGAGAATTCTGAGCAAAAATTAAACATCTTTGAACGAAGGTGAACGCTAACCTAACCAACAAAAGCGAGCGACAATGGACCAGGAATGGTCTGTAAAGTGCAAATGCTTCTTAAATTGGAGCTAGTTGTTCAACCGCAGCAATCCAACGACAAAAATATCGTTTCAGAAATTGTGCATATCTATGAAAAACAAAAATATCAAATTTCCGTAAGGAACGTAAAAACAAAAAGGGAAACGGCTGCTTTTGAACTGTTAAATATAACACTACGAAAAGGCGGCCTGTCAAAATTACAAGCGTCCACAATGATTTCGAATAAAAGCGGGCCATTCACAACATATAAGTACCGACAAAAGCTCACAAATGCTTCCAGATAGCAAGCTAACTCAAACACAGTCTAATAATTCAAGTTCGGAATGCGCGGCACTCTGTGTTGTATGTCATCGTCGCTCTTCATCGGCGCTTCGCGCGGGAGCGGGATTTATCGTGAGTAAGTATTGGAACCACGTATCATCGGTCACGCAGGATTACCTTTGAGTTGTAAGCGAACCCCACCCCGTGCGCAAAACACATCAGCTCACTCTGTACTCACCCTGGTCCGCCTGGCTATCCTGCAGAATCCGCATGGAAGGAGGCATTTTCACCCTCATCTTGTCGGCCCCTCAAGCGTCCCGTGGCGCACCGTGTGGGCGCGGCACACTGCGCGGCCCAGCTGAGCCGTGACCTAGGGTCAGTCAGCTGTCGCCATCACCGGCCGGCGGGCAGCAGCGTCAGCGGCGGCGGCGGCGGCGGCGGCGGCGGCGGCAGCGGGCCGGCGCGTCTGGCCGGCCGGGCGGCGGCGAGTCGACTGTCCGACGGCCGGCGGCCGCCGCGCGTCGACCGCTGGCCGCCGTGGCCGGCGCGGCGCGGGCATGGCCGGCGGGGGCGGCCCGAGCGGCGGCCGGCTGACCTGCGCCCGCCGCCGACAGGTGGGGCGCCGCCGACGACGGCCGCCGCCGACCGCTGCGGCGGCGAACCACTGGCGCCGGAGGCGGCTGCACGGCGCCGCCGGCGCGGCACGACCGACCCCCACCCACCCGCCCCCGCCCCGCCCCCGCCCCCGCTCCTGTCCGCGCCCGCGCTCGCGCCCCCGCCTGCGGTAAGTCGGGCATTGAAAGCGGATGAGAGCTGGCTTCGTTGCGTCCCGGGACTTTCGATATGGCATATTTTAAGGAGAGAGATGAAATTTGAACGGTTTTAGCCTAAGCCTGCAGCTATTTGCCGGTCGAAATTTCTGTCGAAATCGCATAAGCTTCATATCCCACCGTTATGATAATTGTAATTTCTGGTCATATATGTCAACTTTTGATCCGGGTCCACCTGGAATTAACGGCATGAGCATCTCCCTGATTTTCTGAAAGCCTTCACGTGTGTTCCAGGTGGATCCCCAGATTTTCATCATCTTTGAAGTTATCAAACTTGCATGCGCATCATAACAATACATCAACAATTTGTTAATGTCCAATTTGCGCTGAATTATTATGATGCTAGGTTTTGGGTTGTTTTTACCGAAAAAATCGGCATTTTTTCACAGTTTTCTGAACTTGGTCCAGCACCCAGGATTGGGAAATAACAAACCCGGAACAGGAAAACACAACCGAACTATTGATTCTCTCCTTTTCTGTGGGGAGGTGGGGGGCACCAACTCCAGTTTGCAATGAATAATGTTGGGGCAGAATGGCACGACCAGACCAGTCATTTAGTCACAGAAAGAAAGTTAAGGTTGAGTAGCGTTTTCCCGATACCCCCACTCTAACCCAATCAACGACTGACGTCAGTTCCGGAAGGCTGTTCGGCAACGGCACAAAGTGAGCCCTGAGCAAAAGTAGTCTTGTAGAAGCATTGAAGGCAAATCAGTTCGTGCATGTTATGCCGGGACCTTCTATCGAGATACATGCGACTTGCAATCACGGGTATCGAATTCCATCGTTTTGGTTGGACCACTGCCGCCCCGCCCCCCCCCCCCCCTTTCCAAGTTACCTCGTTCTCCCGTAATGGTGACTGCACACACCTCCAACCTTTCATGGCCTCGGTACAAGCAGAGCATTAAATACAGAACCTTAAAATCACATCAAGTTTAATGAAGGCTGTTAACAGACATTTAAAAGGTCAAAAGAACAAACGAAATGCAAACTGCGGTGTCATGTAAGGGTAAGTGCAGCTAAGCTAGTCACACTTTTAGAACTTTGCGTTTGTACCGTGTTTATTTCTGTATTTTCTCTCTTTGTTGCATGCTGCACGTATTTTTATTACACGATGCATACGCATTATTGGCTCTGGTCTAGTTTTTTGGCATTGCCTCGGTGTTTTGCCAGTATTCAGTAATACTTCAGCTTCTACAGACTGCAATGAGTTACGTTATTCTGCTGTAACGCCTGATCAGAGAATGAAAGAGTGAATGAAAAAGTCAAAGCTAAGTTGTTGAACCACCTGCGGTGACAAGAGATCATGTTGTGTCAATGAGGGCTCCTGCAACGACCTGGGGCCAACTTACTGGGTCAAAGGGCCTCCCGCGTCGAGAAGGGGACCAATGTATGAAACAGTCCTCTTAAGGCCTTCGAATCAACCAGGGGACCCCGCTTCCGTATCGCCAAAATGGCAGCCGGTAGGCACCCCGAGGGGGAACGGAATGGCCCTTCAGTCCATGATTGGGAACGCTAATGCGTCCCTAGTGTTTTACCTGCAAAACACCTTGCCCGGTAAGGTCTTTCATTAGTGCTCAACAGAGCGAATGAAAATCAGATAAAAAGCGAAAAAGACCAGCTGATGTTCACGCAAGAGCGTTGATCCTTTTGCAGCATCGACTTGTGAAACAACTCACATAAAAGTTGTGTGTCTGCGCGCTCACAATCGTAGGAGCAGGAGCAGCCATGCCCAGCGCTGTATTCTCCGTAAAACTGGGAGCAGGAGCAGCCATGCCCAGCGCTGTATTCTCCGTAAAACTGGGAGCAGGAGCAGCCATGCCCAACGCTGTATTCTCCGTAAAACTGGGAGCAGGAGCAGCCATGCCCAGCGCTGCATTCTCCGTAAAACTGGGAGCAGGAGCAGCCATACCCAGCGCTGTATTCTCCGTAATGCTGGGAGCAGGAGCAACCATGCCCAGCGCTGTATTCTCCGTAAAACTGAACGGTGTTGGCCACTGTGGTCAACACCAGGTATGGGGCGCCGATTGTGAACGACCGTCGGAGAATAATGCTTCCGAAAGTCCTTCAAAATTAGTTCGCGTTGTTGAAAGGTTATGCTGGAGCGAGTTTTTCACATCTATAACTTTTAAGCCGGCCTTTGAATATGCGTGCGTAATTGCAATATGCGTGTCAATATATGTCGTCGTTATCGAACGCCAAAGAGCCTCATGCGAGAAACAGAGCACCTATCAATGCAGCCGAACGTGCTCATCCGCATCGCTGCTGTAGGCGCAGCGAGGACCGCATGTGGGTGCGGTGTTTGAAGCGCGTTTTCGGCCAGAGTGATAGCGAACCGTCAAAAGTACGATCATTGCCAATGCCAACCAGGGGTATTAAGGCTGGCTGGGCGTCGGTGAGCTCATTCAGCGCCGGGTATGTGGGCATAAGTATAATCGCATGACTACTGAGGAGTCAGCTCAACTAGCAACGCTGTTACAATCAACCCGTGTTGCGCATGACATTGACATGGGCGTTTCGTTTGGCACACGTAAGAAGTGGAACGGGTTATGGCTGCTTTTCGTTCAAAGGCACAACAGCTTAGAACGGTGTCCCACAGATGTAACGCGGGCTCTTAACGCGTATTCATTGAAACGAACGGGGAAAAATATGTCTCAAGAGGAGGGCATCTGCCTAGGCGTTTTTGGGGAAAGTGTGAGGACAACTTTGTTTAAGGCTGCGTGGAGGAGGACTTATGTTTTCTTTTACGTTACTGAGATGCATTTGCTCTGTTGACAAAATGTTTGCGTGTTGAGAACGTATGTCTAAACGGGTTGGGATAGCTGCATATATTGTGAACACCCCGCTCTTGAACATTTTTTCTCTCCAGTTTTCAAGTGCATGATGGTGAATCATACGTCAATTTCTCCTTTCAGCGGGCAAAAGAGTGTGCACAGCTGCACACCCTCTACTTCACATAAGCTCTGCGTATGTATTAGAGTTTGATGCGAACTGCCAACCATTCATATGTGATTGCTATGGATATGCACATGAAACTTAAAAAAAACGCATGGAAAATGTGATGTTTATATGTCTATCTTTATATGTATATATATATATATATATATATATATTCATTTATCATGCATATATATATATATATATATATATATATATGTATTATGTAAGTAAACAACCAGAACATAAACGGACGAAATCCAAGAAGTTTTCCGTACTTGTAACTTTTCGACGACATTCATGAATCTAGCCCCCCAATTATTTTGAGAAATTGACCATCATGCATGGTAGAGAGTGCAGATAATTTTTTTCGTTTACTGGTGTTCCGGCTGTAACGTGGGTGCAATGCTATTCTAAATGTGAACTCCAAATTCAGCACCGTGAGATCATTACATATGCAACACTCCGCCAACTCATGTCGTTACTTCAGCCATATAAAATAATTTTGTGCATTATTTGATGCTGCAAATATAAAAAATTGTCGAAATTTCCATTAGTGGCGCAACTAGGGAACGATACCTACAAGCACACTTTCACCTGGTGCAGATTTTTGGCATACGTCCTGGAGGCATTTTCATGTATGGGAACGAGGTCAACTGTTGTCATTCTTGACAAAGTTGTCACACTGTTCCGTATCTAAAGAAGTTGAGTCAATGGGAAGCAAACAGCTGCCTTCCAAGAACCAGAGCTTTTGGTGCAACGTGTTGGTGTGGTTTTCTTAACCCGGCGGTTTGAAGTTCCCTCTCTCGTCTTGGACCGCTGTAACAAACTACTTCACTTGTTTGAATTGGGCCAGCGAATACCGTGAGTCGGATCCGGGCGGCAGCAACAGCCATGTCAGATCAACTTATAAGTGGCTAAGCCAAATTATTGGCCCTTTCGGGCCGTGAGAAATTAGTCTCTAAGTCAGCACCAGCATATTTTCAAGACTAATTGTCATATGATGTCTCATGTTAAATGCAAAGCACCCTCAGTTTAGAGGCCAGCTCCCCACGTCGCCATTGTACCTTGTGCGCCACCATTGTACCTTGGCGCAATTATGCTGAATTCTGTTGTGAAGTTCAAATACATACGCCGACTATGAGGCGTCGTGCGTGTGATCCGGAACTGAGAAGGCTTGAATGAACCGATAACAGGGCACTTACGACTGCTGAGCAGGTCATTGTGGGCCACAATGGGCCACGTAACTTAGGGAGCTAGAAAATTCAGAAAAATTGCCAAACATAGCCTTGGCCTGCTTGACCTGTCTGATCTTCACATTGACCTGACTTCCACGCAAACAGCATTCGCGGATCATTATCACATCATCACATCGTCATCACGAAAACATTTGCTCATTCATTACACAAAAATAATGCACACTCGAGTGCTGGGAGAACCTCGAGTGCTGGGAGCCCTTTAGGCGTTGCGCGTAAACGAGTCGATCCTTCCTCATGACCATTGAGCAGCAGGATCTGTCGCTCTCCTCTGGCGCTCAGGCGGTGGCGAATGCCCCCCCCCCCTCCCCCCTGTGAGGTAGATGTGGCGTCAGGCGTCCAGTCACCACACGAACCCAAGCGCCTCCTCATGGTTCAGGTAGTGGTGGTGGACACCCTTCC